GCCCTGTGGGATCCATGTTTTACACAGTACACACTGTAAACACACACTTCCTGAGAGGCACCACACCCAAGACGGGAGGTGAAAGAAAGGAACAGGTGAGAATATAAAGACTTTAGTGAGTAAGACCTTCCCTGACATTTCACCAGCGTCAGCAGCCTTCCACTCCCACATAGCAGTGAGCAAACAGGCAGGGATCAGTGCCAAAGCCAGACAGGAGCATCTCTGATTGATTTACATGAATTATTGTAACTGGTCAGGCCTTTCAGGGACCTTCACAATGCTGGTTCTCTTTTCCTTAGTCCTCAATGAACCCGACGCATGCTTGACCTCTTGGAGGTCTTAGTCCTCAATGACCCCGACGCATGCTTGACCTCTTGGAGGTCTTAGTCCTCAATGACCCCGAAGCATGCTTGACCTCTTGGAGGTCTTAGTCCTCAATGAACCCGACGCATGCTTGACCTCTTGGAGGTCTTAGTCCTCAATGACCCCGACGCATGCTTGACCTCTTGGAGGTATATGCTGCTTTTAAAGATGGGTATATTATTTTCACTTGGCCCATGCTACCAATCGGGCTAAGCGACATGGCAAAATATTTTATAACAATTTTTTCATGTCAAATGATATTGATAATTATCACGATATAATAAACATGGACATTTGTCTGTATTCACAAGGTTCTATTTCATTCCTCCTGATCGTCAGAGACTGAGTAACATCGCCTGCCCATGTTCAGGTCGAGAAATGAATAGCAACAAGGTCCACTGCCCTGAGACAGCATGGGCCCGCCCCTCTATAAATGCTCATGATATGCCAGTCTGCTCTGTTTCAGCTTCTCGCTTGGTCTACGTCGGATGTAGATGATCTGATGTCGGCGTAACATGTCTGAGCTGGTCTTGGTTCCAGTGCTTCAACACTGTGTCATACTGGCTGTTTTGCCCATTTGCTGATTTCTTTCACTAAGGCTGCAGTCGGGTTAACACTGGCAAAACAAGTGTAACCCCCACACCTCAAAGTCACTTCTGCACAGCAGAACATCATTTCTCACGACTTCATACAAATTTCCAAATATTTCAGTACTTATATGCACATAAGTTTGTACAATTGTCATCATTTGGCCCAATTTTCACTTACTCTATTCATGTTGATCAAAATAGATTATGTACTTTCACTGTGTATTACACATTATAGTATGTGATGACTCTTCAGTAGTGTTTATGTACCGACTGGCTTGATGCGTGATCTGAAAGCAGTGCTTGCTTTTGAGCAAAGATAATATAGTTCTGAGAGCATTGTTTGATTTCACAAGATGAGGTTTTGTGAGTGTAGCATGAATCTTAGGGTTTGTGCTCAGTGTTTTGAGGAAAGGAGAGGAGATTTTAGGAAATGAATTTTAGCAATTCAGGAAAACTGTACACTAAACCAATACGCAATGTTTCCTGTATTTAGTACTCCAAAAACGTTACTGTAAAGGAAAAAAATTTAAATCAAATGAAAATATTCTGTGTTCTGGTCACTCTTTGGCTTCTTCTCATGTTTAGAAACGTGTGTGAACAGTTTTGAGTCATTGTGTTAAAATGATAACTATTGTCTGCTGACTGTGCTTAACTATTGGGGTCTGTGTTTTCTATTTCACCAAAGGAGTGACTGATTCATTAAAGGAGTTCTGACAATTGGTGGTTTTGTTCCAAGAATGAGGTTTTACAGCAGTTCAGAAAAGCTGTAAAATTCTGAAGAGAATAAGAGCAAACGAGTTTGTGCGTATAGCGGAACATATGGTTTAGCTGCAAAAAAACTGATTCTTATTCATGTGAAAGACACCCATTTCAACTTTGCTAAGCTCCATATTACATGTGTAAAGTTCACTCCTGAAAGAAAGCATTTGCATCTATTTTTCAGATCTCAAGGCACAGTGCAATAGCAAACAAAAAAGTCACACAGCACTGTGTAACACAAAAAAGCAAAATGCCAATACAGGAACAACAAAATGAAAACAAAAGCATAAACTTTGTTCCCAGTTCTGTGCTGCCCAAGCTGTCATTCTGTCACAACCAGCCGGACAAGAAATACAGGAAGAAACATGGAAAGGGACTGATAAGGGGTTTGTTAAGCAAAGGAACAAAAGTCAAATCAACCAAGATCTCAATGGATCCGAAAGCAGGGTAGCAGAGGGAGAGACAGGCACTACGACAGATTACAACGTCATTTATCACGGCTTCACACAAATTTCCAGATGTTTAGTACATATATGCAAATGGTTTCAAGTCAAGTGAAGTCAAGAATGTTTATTGAAAGCCCAGAACACATACAAGAACACAGAGGGTGAAAACTGCGTTTCTCTAGGAGGAAATGGTGTGACAATTAACAACGTGGGACTGACACAAAGTGCAGCTGTGACATGACAGCACAAAGTCAGACAGGACAACCCGACAAACTGCAGTGCGGCAACAAAGTACAGGCAGCAAATAGTGCAGTGAGCGGGTAGGGGGTCGGTCATTAGTTTAGGAATAATATCAGCAAATAAAAACTGAAACATAGTGTAAACAGAGTAGCAGCATGAAATACAGTATATAGCAGAATAAAGAGGATAAACAAATAAGGCAAAAAAGACAGTATGAGCCCATTTAAAGAGTACAGTAAAACACTGTATAAATACCAGTTTAATCAAATTACCATGCGAATGCGATTTCAATACGCGCTAATGCGGCTATTTATAACGTGAATAGCGATCTTCGGGTGACAGTGGTATTGCACGCCCCTGATGCAGGTAAAACAAAGCAAGGTGACATGGTTACATTTTTTGCCGATTTAACCCTATTTTAAAAACTTTAATACTTAATTCCGACAATGGATGTTTTGAAAAGAAGACAGATTACGGATTTATCCAGCGTTTTTTTTCCATGATTCTACATTAAGATTTCAGCGAGATATAAACTGAAATAGACGCGAAAAGTCGATGCGTCGCCGACGATGCACTCAACCCCAGAGGGTTAAGGGTGTAATAGTATAAAATACAGTTTAAAAACCAAATTAAAGTCTAAAGCAGTATTAGACCAGTTTGAAGTGTCAGTGCAGTATGATTGAAGTAGGTATGAATAGTCAGTTTAAAGTGTCAGCAGTGAGTGTGGTGGGTGCAGCTCAGGGATGTGTAACAGCAGTGAGTGTGGTGGGTGCAGCTCAGGGATGTGTAACTGCTGTAACAGCAGAGAGTGTGGTGGGTGCAGCTCAGGGATGTGTAACTGCTGTATCAGCAGTGGACTGAGCACACATCTCTGGGGGTATCCTGTGCTGAGGCTGATGATCCTGGAGGTGTTGGTTCCTATACTGACAAACTGAGGCCTGTTAGTTAAGAAGTCTGATATCCATTTGCAGAGTGAGGTGTTCATACCCAATAGGCCAAGTTTCTCTGTCAGCCTCTATGGAATGATTGTATTAAATGCTGAGCTGAAGTCCGTGACCAGCATTCTGACGTAGCTGCCTTTTTGCCCAGGTGAGAGAGGATGAGGCGGAGGGCAGTTGAGATGGCATCATTTGTTGTCTGGTTCGTGTGATATGCAAACTGCAGTGGATCACATTGTTCCGGGAGGTGGACCTTCATGTGTCCCAGGACCAGCCTCTCAAAGCACTGGGTGATGATAGGAGTGAGCGCTACAGGCCGGTGGTCATTCAGACAGGACACAGTTGACTTCTTGGGATGATGCTTGTTGTCTTGAGGCAGACAGGAAC